ACCAATCTCTTGTCAACTCATCAATATGACTTCCAGTGAACCAGCGCTACTCCTGCAGATAGTCTCCAAGTCATCAATATGGTCACAACTCATCAGCGCCACCTCTGCAGTTCACAACCAACTCAGGTAAGTGTCTCCCATAGCCAAACCTTGAATGAACACTCTATATCTCAGTCCCTTCCTCTTACGATGCATACACATTCTCTACTCATGAGGATCTACTATGAATACCACTCATAGCTACACACTAACCCTCTACCACTAATGCTAACTCGTTGGGCAGCTATGGCCGCGTCATATCCAGCGTACAGTCTTCTTCCTCCATTCAGCGCAGCTTCTACCTCCAGCGCTGCTCCTCCTGACTCAGCGCACAAGTGCACCAGCACTTCCACGCATCGCAGCCAGTGGAGATCTGGCGAGGAATGAGGCTGGCAGCTTTCTTTATAGTGCTGGCCACTCCTCGCTGGGTCTGCATTGGCTCAATTCAGCCCATCCTTTGTCCCAGACCCTGCATTGCATGTGTCCCAGTGTAGTCCCAATGAGGTTCGACTGCTGCTGAGGCCTCTCGGCCTAGATTTGGACTTCAAAGTCTGGATCTGGACCGACCCCTTGACTTAGACCAGAACTGGGACTGTGCCTATTGACTTTACTTTCGGACAGGCACAACTCTTAAACGAACAGACACATTTACTGCCTGAACAGACACTCTCCTTTTGCATGAACAGGTACACTGTCTGCACGTACAGACACACTCTTACCCGAACAGACATGACATACACAGCTCCTGGTGAACAGGTAAGTCTTTTGACAATACCCTTTGCCTTAGATTTAGATGTGCCTGTTGATAGAGAACTTGACCTTTGACCTGCTTTCACGTTTCTGAGCCCTGGCGAGATACCTTCTCACAATGCTTTACTTTTTCAAGGCCCGTACTGCTTTACTTTTACAAGGCCTGAGGCCTATATCAGGTAAAGGCCCTTTTACTTTTCAAACTACGGCCATTTTTTCGTTGCCCATTATTGTTTTTTTTGCCCTTTTGAACTTCGTTTGTGACACAAATGTACTTGCCCCTTTTAATTTTGATAAAGGTGAAAACACTGAAAGGAACCTGGTGTTAAACTTGGCTCTGGGGTTAAGAGCAGTTAGTCAGTTGTTGGCAGTGTCTTATAAGAGATGGAGATCCCTGGTGTTAAGCTCTAGTAGGAATGTCAATATCCTGGATTACAGACCCATGTTTGGCTACTCATTACAGACAAGTGCTACGGCAGTGGCTTTCAAAGTGAAAAGCAGATGGAAAGCAGAAGGACATGCAAGAATACAACACAGCATGTGGTGGTGTAACCGCTGGGAGAGAATTGGACCACAAGAGAGACGCTGGGCTAGGAATTTGATTTTTGAAGGGATCATTCCTCAGGGTTTTTCTTTATCCAAGGGGTGGGGTTATATGACTGTGGCTGTGCAAGCAGCAATAATGAACGTTGTTTGGAAGACAAGGAATGACAGGCTATTTAGGGGGGGGGGGGGGGGAATTCAGACAGCTTCATTCTCCAGATGGTGTTGGGGAACATAGGAGCAATGATCTGGGCAGATTGGAGGAAATACAGTAAACTTGAGAAACCTGACTCAAAGAAGGAGTTGTTTAGCACCTGGGGGAAGGACAGGAGATTGGCGTCAAGAAACAAGAAAAGGGGGATCATCTTATCCCCATGGCCTCTGGGCCTTAGGCCCCAGTAAATGTTGCAACATACCAAATGCACTCGAACTATATCACTCCCATCCATCCTCCTTCTGACCAGTATTAAGCGCGACATAAGAGTCTAATTAGAGTAGTGAAGCCAGAACACATTTGGCAGATTAGATTTAGCTAATATTGCCTAGTAGTTCTACCGTCAACATACCTCGGGCAATCACCGAAGGCTTGGCCTCCACATTTAGACTCGTAAGTAATGCCTTGTTTCATACAGCTTTGAACAATCTGAACATTGTTTCCGGCACCTGAAGCTCCCCACAAATAGCTGGAGTCATCAGCAGGCTTAAAAAAAAAAAAGGTAAAAAAATGGTGCATATTCTGGACGTTGGGTGTGACTCCTACGTACTTGCCCCTGTTTTTTTTTTTTTTTTTTTTTCCAAGAGGTGTCAGAACGTTCCTTGAAACGAAACCAGTGCTCAGAGCTCCTTAGAGCGAGTGCCTACCTGCAAGATGTTCTTTTTCAAGGGTGTTGTCTCGGCCCCTTAACGAGCTCTGCTTTTTGGAGACTCCGTCTGTAGTCTCGGCTGACGAACCAGATTTCAGGAGGGGGGGGGAAGGACGAACCAGATTGGTGCTAGTGCTATTGTGTGTTCATTCAAGAGTGGGGCCGTCTACAGTAAGTCCAGCAACAATGGCGCTATGGGGCATTTCAAGAGTATGACAACTCTTGAAGGATGCTTGAAGTTTTTCACGTTTCAAGCGTAGTGCAGAGAGGCCCAGCTGCATTTAAAACTAATGTGAAGGGTACAATCATAATACAATGCCATTTAAATTTGGGCCTCGCCACACCAATGTAGACACTGGAGTTTTTCCTTCGCCACACAGACACATACTGTCGAAGAAAAAATGCTGAAAACGCTTCGACAATTGTCAGAGAATCTGTTTCAACATGGGTGTAGAACAGCCCGCCTGCAGCGGGTCGAGTTTCAACATCTTGGAGACGAGGTTGTGAAAGAAGTGAGGATCTCGACAGCTATCAGGGTCCGTGTACTGGCGCTGCCTCACATCCGCTGTCTTCTTAGTCTTTCCCCCCCACCCCCACCCCCGAATTTTTGCTTATCCTGGGTGTTCGACATACGGTGTGGCGAAGGCGAAGGTGGTCTTTGTGTAGAAACCACAGTTGGCGAATATTTCACCATTTCTTTTTGGCATTTTGGAACTCAAAACCTTTTATATTTCTTCTAGAGGAACTAAAAAACCTGACCCATCCGCCGTTGTTTTCTGTTTTTTGGGGGGGGATTTTGCAAGGAAACATCAATCCCCTGACGCCGCTCTGTAGGTTGGGAGCTGCACCTGCTGGCGACCGGGTCCATCGGTCCCTTATGACACAATCACCAACAACCATAGAACTATGAAAAAAATAAGAAACGGCTATGCAGATCCCAGTCGTCTCTGACTTCTCTACTGCTTTCTTCGTGACCTCATTCCCCCTCTGACACGGAGCCTCACGCAGCTAAGGGCCAGATCCCACTGGCGAAGAGGTGTATGAATCTGGACGTATTTGTGGCGAGGTGCAGAAAACTGTGATTGATCTGCTTTTCTGCATCACTGCGTGGAACACGCCAGATGCGTATTCCAATCCTCCTTGCCAGTGGGTTTTTTTTTTTTTTTTAAAGAGCAAGTAGCAGCTTATATTATACGTGCTGGACACCGGTTCCAGCGTCCCATGGTCTGCAACTACAAAGAAAGTGAGCAACTGGAGCGAAACTCTTAGGAATCCAGAATAAAGGGAGCAAAACAGCCAAGAACTACTGAAGAATTCATATAATTCCTCCTAATATTCTCTCTGGGAGCCTTACCCAGCTTCGCTACAAGATCTTACAGAAAAGAGACCAAGTACGGATCTGTAAACTCAAGGACGCGTGAGCCGCCAAGACGGGCTTCCCAGCACGCACCCTTGGATCTTCAGTGACAATATCAATCAACGGACCAAGATCACTATGGATAGGGTTCAAGTTTGCTTCCTACCCTATTTATGCTAACTACAAGCTAGGAGCATTCCCACCACTGCAGGTAGCACTCACACTTCCTCCGTAGTGCCGTTACCCACACTGCCTCCGTTAACAGCACTCGAAACAGCAAAACACCAATATCGATATCTGATCCACAAGACCAAATCAGCCGTTAAAGACCTGGGAGCCAGCTAGATCATCATCACACACCAACAAAATCCCCTAATCTCCATCAGGGCTACTCTCTCATGATTATGGCTTTCCAAACACCCTGTAAAAAAAAGAGCCCGAGCTGCCCTGATGGGTTTCCCAGCACGCTCCCTTGGATCTTCATGGCATATTGATCACACAATGGGAACAACTCAAGTTTGCGGTTCTCACTTACCACCGCCCCTCGTTGCAATCTCACTGCCTCAGGTGGCGCCGGCTGCTAGGGTAGTAGTTCCAAGAGTTTCCCTCTGAGGCACTCCAAAACTCCTAAACCTGAGTCCCTGTCTTGACCGTAGGCTGCAGCTATAAGCAGAGATGAGAAGCTCCTTGACAATGGTGCGAGTTGGAAAGACAGGAGTGCCTACCATATCTTCTGTAATTGAGACACTCTTGAAGGACATGTTAACTGCTCACCTCAGTCAAGTAGGCTGCCGCTACATAGGCAATAAGAGAGCAAGAAAAGTACTACTACAGTGAATCTATCCCAAAGGGCTTGGACAGGGCGAAGTAAAGAGCAGACAGATTGAATTATGCCCTAATGTCACTAAATGCAGGAAGAGAGGAGCAGAAATAGGTAGGAAAAGAGCAGCAGGTCCCATTTAGACATGTGAAAAATCAATAAATCTATCCTACGGGCAGGGGTAAATAAAGAGCACTGCATTTCAAATTTCCCACAATCGTGAATGCGCCCTAAAGTCTATCCCCAGCCAGACAGAACGAAGTAAAGAGCAGACGAATTAAAACTAAAATATCCGGTGATGTCACTATATGCAAGGAGAGAGGTGCAGAAATAAGCAAGAAAGAGCAGGAGGAGGAGGGGGAGGAGGGGGAGGAGGAGGAGGAGTGGAAAAGAGTAGCAGGAGGAGTTTAAACGCATCTATCTTAGAATATGCGGCGGAAGGAGAGGGAGCACGAGGCAGGGGAGAAAGGAGGAGGAGGAGGAGGAGAAGGAGAGAAAGGAGGAGGGGGAAGGGGAGGTGAAACGGAGCGCAGCCATCATGCACAAAGCTTAGAAGGTCAACTATGAAATATTTTATATGGTGATCCAGATGATGCACACAGTCTCTGTCAGTCTCTCTACAGTAATTACTTTCCTTGTGATCTCATACTAGTACCTCTTCCCGCTCAAACCCACTGAGGCCGAGCCTCACCTCGTTGCTAACTTAAAGTCTGTTTTGAATGCTGAACATGAGGACTGGCAAAGCCATCGGCATCGGCAGTGACAATAATAGCTCGTAGCATGAGGACTGGCATTGCCTAGAACATGAGCTTGCGCTCACTCCCCGACTGGGTGCGGATGAGAGCCACGTCAGCTTCGGTGACACACCGGCTGTCGAAGGCCACGTGTTGGCATTTGAACGCTCCCTGCCCGGAGGTGTATGGCTCGCAATAGAGTGCGTATCCGCCGGCGTCGCAGTTGCAGCATGCGTTGGGCCCGAAGAACGGGAAGCAGTCGCCGCCCACATACCCGACACAGCCCTCAGCCGGCTTGGCATTGAAAGCCAGCGCCAGCGTAGCAATAACCATCAAGATCACGACCTGCCGACCGTACGCCATTGTGACTCCTCCCTCTCCTTCACTGACAGGTGGTCGAAACGGAAACGATGTCGCCGGCTCTTCAAGAAACACTGAGTGCCCCCGATCGATTCACGGAAAACGTTTTGAGACAGATGAAAAAGCCAAACGCCCGCTGATCTGTAGTCCCTGCGCGCAAATCGACCAATCAAAAGTATAACAAAGTTAGAAGAAGAAGAAGAAGAAGAAGAAGACTCAAGAAGAAGAAGAAGAAGAAGAAGAAGACGTAGAACAACAACAACAACGACGACGACGACGATAAGAGAATAAGATCGACATGCACAAGGAGAACAACGAAGTGGAGCAAGACGAGAAGGAGAACAAGGAAGAATACAGGAAAGGAAGAAGAAGAAGTGTTGTAGACTGGCTGATAGAGYAAGCTGGCGACAACGACGATCATTCAAAAAGAAGCTCCCATCAACTACAAAGAATGATACCAGATGTCAACACGTTGCTTTCACATTATGGTGTGCCTGTTTCCCTTTCGCTGCGTGTTCACAGTTGCACTTCACTGGATGTATCTGTCCGCAATTACGAACAGTCCTGGATGAATCTGACCGCACCCGCGTCCAAACAGCAGTCCCAAAAGTTCTAGTGTGAGAGCAGCGCCCTCAGACTCAGATGTTCGATAGCAAGCCATGATGGTGAGCGGACGTAAGCCGGACTCACAATCTCAAGGCAATGCGTTTAAACGGAAAGTGCTATGGTAGTTGCTGAGAGCCGATCACGGCGGAAGCCAGTGATAAAAAAGGGTCGTACGAAAAGACAATGTCATTCCCAAGCACTCCCACTCCCACATTTGAGAGGATTCCATCCCGGTAGTAGTGGGGAGTGAGGGGGGGGACGTAGGGGAGAAGGACAAGAAGATATCAGGAAATATCAAAGAGTGTGCGTACGCCCTCAGGACATGCATGCAATACCAAACATGCACAGCAGATCCTATGCGGCACACGCCGTGCAAAAACGTCACACAGAGAGAGAGAGAGAGAGAGAGAGAGAGAGAGAGAGAGAGAGAGAGAGAGAGAGAGAGAGGGAGGGGGGGGGGGGGGGGGGGGGGGGG